AATAGTTACAATAAACAGGCTAAATATAGAAAAATATATTAAGCAAAAAAACTACTTACATCTATCACTTAAGGAGAGAGCTCATTGTCTTGCTCTTTTCGCTTTTTTTTTAGTTTGGCAGCTATTCTTTGAATATTCTTGTTGAGCTGCTTTAATAATAAGTACAACTGGTGATTCTGTATATAAAGTTGTTCAAATTTTTGACAGTGGTATTGACGGTCTTTTTTTTTGTTTTATCGAAAATCAAAAAAAAAAATTCTCAATAATAAAAAAATAAAATAAAGCTCAAGTATTCAAAAAAAAAAAAAAGCTTATATATTGAAAAAATTACTAATATAGTGCATCTTGGTTGGATGATCTTCTATCACATGATCTTTCTCTATACTCTTGATTAGATGAAAGTTGCGGTAATAATGAATGATTTAAATCATTATTCGGTGTTGTACAATAAGAATGTGAAGGCAAGCATCTTTGAGAAGGTTGACTAGATTGTTAATGTAGTTGTTGACGAGATAGTTAGCATTGAGGTGTTTGTTGTTAGCCTCTTCTACTTATTTTTAAAAAAATAGATTGTATACTTAAAATACTTTTTGTAAATGAATCTGAATTATCATTATAACAAGTATTATTAAATTGTTTTTGAGAGTTAGCATTGTTAGATATTGGTTGAGGATTAGCAGATTTATATGGTGGTGTTTGAGAAGCGGCAGATTTATATGATGCATTAGAAGAAAGAGATTGAGAATAATCATGTTAAGTAGTTGTAGGTGATTGTGTAAAGTCAGTGGTATTATGTAGTGTATTAGAAGAAATCAATTGAGAACAATCATGTTGAGTAGTTGTAGGAGGTTGTGTAGGGTCAGTGGTATTATGTGGTGCATTAGAAGAAACTGATTGAGAACAAGTATATTGAGTAGGGTAGTAGAAGGTAAGTTTTCCATTATTCAAAATTACAAAAAAAGAATTTTCAAAAATTTACTTTTAAATCTTAGAAACCTATTGTATTTATATAATTGTAACGATTTTGCAAGAGTTAATTAAATTAATTAAATTTAAAATTGAATGATGAAAAATGTAATATAAATTAAAAGGAGATACTTATCTGCTGACTTTTGGTCATTATACTTATAAATGATGATGTTCTAAGATTTATCACTTATTGCATAATTTCATTACAGATCTAAATAATATTATACTTAATACAATTATATAAATGCTACTAAAAGAATATCTGAGTCATTGGGCTTTCAATTATATTTTATACCAGGCACAATCTATTTAACTTATTAGAAATATATTTGGTACAAAATATAATTAAAAGCCTGGTGACTCAGATATTCTTTTAGCGGTACTCATATAACACTGATTTGTCTATGTTATTATATCATGTATAATATGACACAAGTTGTTTACAAAGTTAGTTTTGCAATAAAATTGTTTTGATAAAAAAAATAAAGTGAAATATTATAAATTGATATAAATCGATATAAATTAATATATAGTTACAAATCAAAATTTTCTCTGAATATTACCCTTAGATATTTTTTTATGACTTTCTTTGACCCTTTATAATTGATAATCGCTTTAATCCATTTTTTTTTTATTTTCTTTTTATTATTTGTTGTTTTTAAATTTGAAGAACAGAATTCAGGTGTTCTAGCATCTCTTTTATTTTCTTATTTTATCTTTTCTCTTCACTTAATATCACTTATTTTTAGTTTAAATCATTTTAATTATTTCTTTACATTGTTTCTATTCTTTCTTCTTCTCTTCACTTAATATCGCTTATTTTTATTTGATTTGTTTTTCTTCACTTTTTTACATTCTTTCTATCCTTTCTTCTTCTTTTCGCTTAATATCATTTATTTTCAATTTTATTTGTTTTCTTCAATTCTTTACATTGCTTTACTCTTTTTTCTTTTTCTGTCTTTTTATTTCTTTCTCTCTTTT